AAGACCGAAAATGTCATCTTGAGCCTGCGGCTAAATAAGGCGTTTTCAATGCACGAGGTAGGGTGGTGGTGGTGATACTTCTCTTATCTAATCGTGGCCTGGCTCGACTCTGGCGAGCCCGAGATTAACGGGTTGCACGGCGCACAATGCGTCTCACGGCTATTCTTCCTTTTATCCTGAAGAACCGAGTCGAAATTTTGATCCTACACGGAGAAAAATAATTTTGCTCTTTTAGCAAAATCGTCGTTGCTACCGTATATCCGTAGTGACATAAAAAACATTTTGTTGACATAACTAATTTTACAAATTATTCGTTATTAGAGCAGAAGTAGTTTCGTTGCCAGGATAGAAAAAATTGGTTGAGTGTATTTGTCCTAAGAATCACGTTAATTTGATACACAATAATGTATCCTTAGCAAATTTATTTGCTATTGGAACAAAACTGCAACTGCTTATATAAATCCATCGTGGTTATTTCTTGTAGCAAAATAATTTGTAGATTTAGCAAATTATATCCAGCAAATAGTGATTAGTACTCTTAGCAAATCTTTTTGCTGTCCATATAATAACGAAAAGATTTTGCTAGACCAGCAGAAAATTCGCTGGGCCAGCAAATTTTCTCCGTGTACTTCCGGCCTCAATATTCTGTACAATGCCTCAACTACTTTGACACTCTGAAATCTACACGCGAAAAATATTGCAGCAAAAATTGTAAAAAAATTTTTGTAATCTTGGACCAGAATTCTGACCGAAATTACTATACATTTGTTTAAAAATCTTGTGCATGCTTGACTTGACTACTATTGAATTATTTTTTATTTTAATTATCGTTAAAAATAACGGTTAAGTTCATAAACTTATAATACCATTTTACGACCTTCGAAATATCTTAAATTATTTTTTAATAGAATTATAAGAGTAACAATTTTTTTTTGGCGTATCTTTTTGGACCATTTTATTTCAAATAGTGAGATGCATTACTTTGATACGTTTTACGTATCAGTAATATGCCTTTAATATTCTCTTCGTATATTTATGAATAGCTACATTTCATCAAAAAATAATTTGAGATTTCGAATGCCGCAAAGTGGGGCCAAACTTGGCCACACTTTTTCCATCACACATTCAGACGAGTAAAATTTATAAAATTAACCACCGCTCGCGTTCGCTTTTCATTATTCCTGTTGATTTCATTTTTTCGCTACGCATCTTGTATACTGGTGTTTATTAATTGAATCCTTTGAGTGTAGACAAGTGTAAATAAACGCGCCTGGAGATGGTACGCTCGTCTACATTATTCTACACCGAAAAAGGACTCAATTAATGAACATCAGTGTACGTCTTCGCCGAATTATCCGCCGAAGGTTGGATGTTGGAATGTATGGAATCGACGGTCGAGGATTCGATTCATTGCTATTAGATGCGATAAATCGTGCATCGTCGTATCGGTGCGATGCGATTTGTCCGTTTCGTGCGCGCGTGTGATCACGCATAAAAATTATTTGCAACCCGAGTTGGCGATAAGCGACAGCGAAATATACGGCGCCAGGCGTATTATCAATGGTAGTGATATAATAGTTCACGATAGTTCGCTTCAGCCCAGTCATCGGGGCATCTCTTTTCGTAACTCAAACACGCTGACGTCAATCGGCCGGCGCCATGATTTATGCATCGCCGAGCCTCTTGCGTGAGTTGCAATGTTTATTTACGAATTAGCATGGATTGCGCCGGAAAGTGCATTCAGGTTAAATCGACTACCGTCGCGCCTCGTCGTTATGTACTCTAAATTTCTTCACGGAACAAAAATTTGATCAGAATAACCGAATTTCTGACGAAGTATTGACAGACCAGAAATTCCGGCTCTGAAGTTGCGAAAATTTTGTTCAGGGATAAATTTTGAGAAGTATATGTTTGCATACCCACGCACGTACATTTTGTAAAACGCTCGTCGTTTGTTTCAGAAGACGTGGGCTACAGAAGTGTCGAGATCACGTCCGCTTTCACGCATCTGCCTCAGAAGGGTGAGTACACTTTGCATTTGTGCGACTCCTTCGCATTTTTCCAACGGGAGATCCTGCTGTTCTCGCTCCCCGGTCGATCTACGCGCGCTCCATTTTGCGAGAAATGCAATCAGCGTTGATTACAACCTGTTTCGCTCGAGACCACCAATTATTCGTTCCCAAAATGTCGCGTTCGCCAAGAACTGAATTGTTGAGTCCGCGTTCTGTTTCTGAAGGTGAAGAAATTTCAGGTAAAAGTACCAATCCCCCAACACATACTTGATCCTTGAAATTCTTATTGTTTTAGTCCTTAATGAAGGATCTTTGACGAAATCCTTTACGAACATTTTAAACTCTCCACATAAAAGATATCTATGGTGAAAGTTTAAATTCGTATCTGAAGATTAAAACTACAAGCATGTCCAAGATTAGATGAGTGTCCGAGAATTGCTACTTTTATCTTACGATGTCGTTCCCGAGTCGAAATTTTGACCCTACTTTTGACCTCAATACTCCACTTAACGTCTATTTTGATAGTCTGAAGCTAACCTCTTTGGATCCTTTTTAACCCACTAACTTTGTCGAAGAGACACTAACTTTAGATTGCCGTCTATAAATGGCATTTTATGCGTTTCTGCCACTTAAAAGCGCGTTAAATAGAATTTCAGTTTTTACGCGTTTTAACGAACATAATAACACTGAACCTTCAGAACAGGATAGTGCAGGTCGAACTTAGCAGGGCTACGATTTCGACTCGGGTTCTCCCGAGCCAACAGGCGATCGAGGCGTTTCTCTCCCGGCGCCCGAGAGACGCGAAAAAATTCGGCGAGAGAAAGAGAGAACGAATTTCGGGATAACACAACAAATGTTATTTCCGAGCCGTAACAACTGGTATAACTGGTATAACCGGTACAACCATAATCGACATACACAGTGTTGAGGGAGAGAAGGGAGGGGAGGGGGCAGATTATTGCCGAACTGTTTGCGCGTCTATAAATTTCGAGTTTCTCACGGCGGCGCCGTTCGTTCGTCGTGTGCTCGCGGTCTTTATCGCGTCTCGCTATTTTTCGCGCGAACGCGATGACCGCGTATCCTTCACGCGGCTGTCTTAACTCGTGAATTATGAAGTTCTCCCGATAGCAAAAATAAAACGCGTCTCCGCGTGTACACTGATCCTCGCGCGCGCGCGCGTCTATCGTAGTCGCTATCTCTGAGTTCGCTAAATGCCATTAAGACGTCATCACACATACACACACACCGTAGACGTCAGAACGCGTCGCGCATCATCGACGCGCGTCGGTATTCTCGACGTTGAATTTTTTCCGAATATCCATCACTCGCGATGTTCGCGTTTATAGACGGCTGATAGATCTGATAACTGAAGCGCTATAAATAGATCTTCACCCCACCTCACTTTCCCCCCTTTTCCGTCCTCCCTTTCTCCCCCATTCCGTCATACGGAACGAACGAAACGCAAGCTACGAATCGACGTTTCTCGCTGTCTCCGCACGCTAATTCGTTCCCCGACGTCCAAAATTGGAAACGCGTATACATACACACGCACACACACTCACACACATACATATGCGCGGTGTTAACGCGGAAGAGAACGGTTATCGACGGCTTCTCCCATCGGTTTTGACGAACTCCGCGAACGACGTTACGAAATTTTTCATCCGTTTTGTCCGGAAGTTCCGTCGAATCGGAACAGCTGCGCGAATTCAAATCTATACATTCGATTCTGACTGACGTTTCGGAGAATTGAAAGACACACATGAGAGAAGACAAGCCTCACCTGACGTCGCGAGGCGTCACACAGTTAAGAATCGCGGAAAATAACGGCGTGATAGAAAATTGAAGAGAGCAGCAGCTCTCGACAAGTGCATTATTCGCCGGAGATATATTGCGTTCGCGCTTCTCGCGTGTGACATCTTCCGATATTGAGTTATCACGGTACCTCAACACTGTTTCTTTTTTTCCTCTTCACGATATTAAATCCTCCCTCTCTCCCCTCCTCGAAGTTGTAATCGCGTTACGACCGTATAACTTGATTTTCCGAAGAACAGGAAAAGAAATCAAATCTCGAGAACGCGAGGAATCGTATTCAATTCAGCATCTTGTGAAAGTTGCACGAGTACCTACGATTTCGCGTTGAGGGGATCGCCCTAACTATCCTCAATACAATATTATACAATATTCCAAACTCTGTTCTTCCCTTCAGCTGTAACACGCCTTATCTTCCTTTATCTTTTCTCTTCGTAGTCGATCTCTTCACTGCTCTCAACAACAAGGGGTTGTCTCCCCTTCATCCTCTTTCTTCCCCCTCAATTTTCTTCTATATCTTGTTAGTTTCTTTACTTTCTACCAACTGCATGAAATGATTTTTCTCTGTCGCTTTCTTCACTTCCTACATCGCTCGTCGTCGTCGTCGTCATCGGTAGTATCTCCTTACGTCAACAAGAAAGAGTTTTCCATACTCTATAATTTTCCTTTTATTCTTTGTACTTCACCCTTCTTACTTGCACAGCATTTATCCCACTAGTGCTTGTGTTATCTTTTTTCCGTACAATTTTGCTTCCTTATCCCACCCGATGACCAAATCTTTCCTTTCTCTATCGCTTATATACTTCTGTCTTCTATTATCACCTATTATATACTTCCTATACCGATAACTTTCTCTGTATTATCACACTAATTGAGCTTGCCTGCATCACTTACACCTGTTTTTTGTCATAACCTCTATTATCTATGCACTTTTTCCGTTCTGAATCCTGCTTTCCTACTTTCCTAAACTAAACCTTGCTTCGCCTTCACTTACACAATATCTACGCACGCGATCCTACGTAATTTCGCTTATCTGGCCCCCCCCCCCCCCC